TTGTCACACGTACAAGGAAGACTGTAAAAATTTAATTACTTTCTTCTCTCTCTCTCTCTCTCTCTCTCTCTATCCATTTCCCTCAACGGATGCCCGGATTATTCTGTTTCGCAGGATGCTGCCGCGCGAAAGACCAAACCGTGCGATTTGTTGCTTTCCACTAAAATACTCCGGACGATGGTCTTAACGGCGGAACGCGCCGTTAACCTGAGTTACGCGTAAGGTGGAATGTCCCGCATGTTCGAGCGTGTTTATTTGCTCGCGGTGAGTAAGCTCACAAGACTCGTCGCCGCGCCGCGTCCAACGTAGACGCATCGCGCTTCACGCGTAAATACGCGCGACAACGGGAGGTGCCGCCGCGCGCGCATGCGCACGCGCTGCGTCGTGCGTGACGCATCACCGTGGTCGTTCGCGCGTGACTACTCGGCGTAATACACACGCACGCACGCACGCACGCACGCACGCCATACTTATGTTACAAGGGATGCGTATCGAAAAATTCTCGCGCATACGCGGAAAAAACGCGTTCCACAAGCCGCGGGACATCGCGGCGCGTCGTCGATCGAAATCCGCCGCGGTTCCGATCCGCCGCTCGTGGGAACGAGATAAAAGCGAGATAAGACCGGCCTTACGACTAATTGCACGCGATACTTAAGACTAACGAGATACGCGGGCTCGCGGCCGCGAGTTTCTTCCCGGCTGCATGCGTGCGTGCGTGTGATTTTGTTGCAATACCGCGGACAATCATCAGGAGAATGCGTGCGTCTCGCACGCGGGAGGGACGTTCCTTAGGAGCGACCCGCGGATTTCGCACGTCACCGTAATTACGCCGTAGCGTCGCTTTCTATTATTACTTGTCCCGCCGCGAGTTTTACTGCACAAAGCTATCAATTTTGGAAGCATCTTGTAAAACGAAGGGTGTCTCCCTTCGTCGTGCGCTTCTATTACACGAATCCTTTGAATTTCTAGTCTCTCGTTGCAATTGTTTAATTGAAACTTTACTACACGAGCTTTTTAAGAATTCCATTTTCAATTCCAGTTTTTAAGCAAAACAAGACTTTGCACGAAATAATTGAAAAAATTTATTTTTCGTGTATGTTAAAAAGGAGGAATACAAACAAGGAAAATGTTACCTTCTGTCCCGAGAATTCTCAACGTGATAAATTAGCAACATTAGAGCGACTCTAACATTTTCCTCGATTCGCGTCGAGTTCTGAGAACCAAACAAGAGTCACGTTAAAGGCGAATTGACATTTCGCATGGCGCACGGTTCTGATGCGATTTTAATTTATGCAAACCCGGTATTTGAGGATGGTATTAAAGGCATCAAGTCGGACAACCGTGCCATATTACATACGGTTTGTGCCGTTTGTGTCGCGACATCGCCGCGCACAAATTGCTCTTTTCAATTAAAAAAAAAAAAAAAAAAAGAAAAAAAAAGAAAAAAAAAGAGAGAGGAATACATCGCGGAAAATGTGGCGGAATGTAGAACACAACACATTCACATGCTTCTCTCATATTTCCACTTGTGTTTTTATTTTGTTAATTTTCTCGTATAATATATACTAACAAAACATTTAATTACAAAACATGGGCATATCTGTAGTGTGTATCTATGTGTATTGTGTGTATGTGTGTATGTATATATGTCCTGTGATGAAAGCGGCTATATGTTCTTTTTCTCTATGCGGTACGCGTACCTTTCTCTGGTTAATGTAGATATTACGATTAAACTTCATAAGTTCTCTACGATAAGTAGATGGATTGATAACGACAATTTACACGCAAAAAACGTGTGGCAAATGCCCCCTGTCCCTCCCGTCGTCGATCCTCCGCTCCCCCCTCCCCCTCCCGCCCCTTTCCATCTCCTTTCGATTCGTTTTTTTTTCCGCTAAATTCATTCTTCGTTCAATTAATTGCATTCATTTAATCGCGAGAGTCAGTTATGCTCGGTCGGGCCTCATTTACCGAAATTCTCTTTCTCTCTACAACCTATGTCCGTCATAAATACGCAAACGCAAGAAGGGATAAAAACGCTACTGTAATATGCGATATAATAATATTACCGTACTTCGATTATTAGTTATAAATAGTTTTTGTTTTAATAATTATTTGTCCAAACACTGAATATTTTACAACAGCCATCGAATCTCAACTATTTGTAACTCTATTTAAACAGTTTGCAACTTTTACAGTTCATCATTGTCACTTTATTTTTCTTCAATTTCGCTTTTAATATTATTATGCGTAATAGCGCGTATGATCTGATCCAATATCATATCAATAATAGGGATATATCATAAATTTTGTAATTTCCTAAAAAATATTCTCTAAAAAATATGTCGACCTAAAGATTATTATGACTGATAATCACAGACAATTTTTTCAATTTTTTTTCTTTTTCCCTTTCATACCGTCGTCGAGTTTGTCAATAATCCGTTATTTATCCTCCCCTCTCTTACTCTTCCCCTTTAAACAAGTACAATATTTCAAAATTCTACTCTGATTAAACGTTAGAATAGT